AAAAAATCGAGATGAAAAGAAAAAAGAAAAAAAAAGAAGGCGTTAATTCCGGAAAAACGTGATTAACCAAAGGACGATTCTGTTTACTATTTTCAAGGAGATGTACTTTTTCCTACACACCTTTCCCTCTGCATGATTATAATTGGCGGCGCCTTCAGATTTTGTCTCTCTATTTTTGGTGCACTGCCACTGTGTTTTATTTTTATTTATTACATATTATAAATAATAATTATTATTATTACGTTTAATTTGACCTCTAATTTAATTTGTTCTAATTTCGTCTTTTGTTGTTAGCAACATATATCAGTGTATTAATTGTTATTACAGAACTAATAAAGCTTTAATTTTTCACATGCTTTTGTCTCAAACTCACAGATGGTGATGTGATTTAGCTAGGGTTTTGTTTGTAGCATATATATATCCACGATATTGGAAAAATAAAAATATATATATATTCCTAACAAGTACTCATATTTTTCATAACATTTGAGTTAAAACACTACTTAAAATATACCATTTCAGTAATGAAATTATCTTTTTGTTACTAATAGCTATTTTTATTGTCAGTTGATCTTCTAACTTCTTTTTATAATGTGAAATTAGTGATACCTTGTTAATGAAAGTATTATTATATTATTTCTTGTCTGACCAAGTCAAAATAGATATTATCACTCATAAAATTAATCTTTTGTAGTGTTTACAATTTTAACTAAATCAGAACAATTACCACCAATATTTAATTTACTACAATCATTTTGCATTATAGGTTGTATTTTGCAAATCAAATTCTTCATTTTCTTTATAAATAAATAAATAAATAAAATTTCAAATGTTTTTTCTTCTCTCAATTTTTTTGTTTTTTATTTTCCTATGTAAAAGGGTAGTGGATTTTAACGACAAGAAAGGTAGATCCTGTCAGAGGAGTATTTATTTATTTATTAAATTATTTATTCTTGTCTATGCAGAAGAATATCAAATCTTTTTGAGCTTTAGAATACTGTGCCTAATTAGCTTATTATTCCTAAATTAATATTTATATATATTTTTATATAATGAATTGATGGAACTAACAGATCAATTCTTGATCAATAAGATCACCTTCAATTTCAAGTCTTATCTCTGAAATAATTAGTACGTCTGCAGTAGATTAACACACAACACTTTATTGGGGGTGGCAGAGAATTCATGGCCAAATCACTCTAATTAATTAATTAATTAAATATTAGCATATTAGATTTTTCCTCTTTTTATATATATTTTATTTTATTTTATTTTTATTGTTTTACAGAAGACGTGTTTATGTAAAACACGCTTTTCCCTTTTAAGTTTTAAGTTAGTTGTTAGTCTTTATAGCTATATATATTACACATCACATATGACGTGTATTCAATTCACTTGTAAAACTTTTCTCCACAATCAGAATAAAATATCTGTTCTTCTTCATCCTCTCTAAGCCGTTAATGGCGGTTCCCAAAATTCCACGATTGTAAATCTTAACATGGTATCAGTTTAGTTGATTTCTTTCGTTCTTCCGCACCTCTGAATCAATTTTTCGTTTCAATTTCGCGTCAATTCAAGTTTTTTGCATCTGGATCTCTGTTTATCCATGGCGACTCGCCGAGTGGATGATGTTTCGAGCCCTTACTATCTTCATCCCTCTGATGGTCCCGGTCTTATTTTAGTCTCGCAATTACTCACAGAAGATAACTTCGCCTCCTGGAGTCGTGCGATGAAGATTTCGCTTACAGTGAAGAATAAATTGGGGTTTGTTGATGGCACAATTCCTCTTCCAATCACGGAAGATGCTGCTCTCCGAAATGCTTGGGTACGCAACAATAGTATAGTAATTTCCTGGATTTTAAACGCTGTTTCACCAGCTATTCAACCGAGTATCATGTACTCTGAATCTGCCCAAGAAATATGGAATGATCTCAATACTAGGTTTTCTCAGACTAATGGACCTAGAATTTTTCAATTAAGGAGAGATTTATCAAATCTCACTCAGGAGCAACAGTCGATTAATGTCTACTTTACAAGATTGAAGTCCATCTGGGATGAACTTTCACATTTCAGGCCTTCTTGCACTTGTGGTTCTTGCACCTGTGGTGGTGTGGCAAAATTGACTGCTCACTATGACCAGGAGTATGTAATGGCTTTCTTGATGGGATTAAATGAATCCTTGACTTCTACTCGGGGGCAAATACTTCTGATGGATCCTCTGCCACCTATCAACAAGGTGTTCTCTCTAGTTTCCCAAGAAGAAAAACAGAGATCAATTCAAGCATCTACTTCTGATGCATCTAGTGCCATGGCATTTTCGGCCAAGGGTGATACATACTCAAGGCAATCTACAAATAATCAATTCTACAATTCAGGCCCTACAAGAAAATCAAGAGGTTTTTGTACTCACTGTAATATCTATGGTCACACCATAGAAAAGTGTTATAAACTTCATGGATATCCACCTGGATACAAGGTTAAGCCACGACTTCCTCCAGCCACTGCTCGGGGTTATAACTCAGCTCAACACAAAAATTTCTCAGTCAATCAAGTTTCTGAATTTGAATCTCCTCTGGACTGTTCTTCTAATTCAGGAAGTGTTCTTCAAACTCAGAGTATTTCTCCTACTTTGTTTCCCAATATGTCTGCTAACCAATGTCAGCAGTTACTTGCTTACTTCTCAAATCAATTGGCAAGTCAACAGCCCAATGCTACACAGAACAACATGAACAATTCTGCAGCTGAGACTTCACACATTTCATGTGTGTCAGGTATCTGTTATGCAGCTCTTTTACATTCCTCGTTTTTGCCCAGTCATTGGATAATTGACTCTGGGGCTTCTAGGCACATTTGCAATAATAAATCTTATTTTACTGATTTGATTCCTATATCCAATGCTCGAGTTATTTTGCCAGATTCTTCTATGGTTCAAGTTATGTTCATTGGTACTGTCAAATTATCTCAAGATTTGATATTGACCAATGTCTTCTATGTTCCATCGTTTAAGTTCAATTTAATTTCTGTTAGTGCTCTTTTATACAAAACTCAGTTTCATGTTCTTTTTGGTGATGCTTCCTTTCTCATTTATCAGGCCAAGTCTTTGACGAAGATTGGCAAGGGTAACAAAATTGATGGATTGTATGTTCTGGATTCTGATGTTTCTGATTCAGTGTTTTGTAATAAAACTCATATCTCTTTTTGTAATAAAGTTTCTGCCACTGTTTGGCATAGTAGATTGGGCCACATTCCTAAGCCTAAACTTGATTTGTTAGTTCACAAGTTTTCCTTGCCTATGAGCAAAGCTGTTGATAACTCTTGTTGCTATATTTGCCCTTTGGCTAAACAGAAAAGATTAAAATTTTCTGCCAGTATCTCTTCTTCTTCAAAAATATTTGATCTTATTCACTGCGATATTTGGGGTCCTTACAAAATCTCATCTCATGCTGGTTTCAGATATTTTGTAACTTTGGTTGATGATTTCTCTAGATTTACTTGGATTCATCTTCTAAGAGCTAAATCTGATGTTTTGTCTATTATACCTGCATTTTTTAAAATGGTTGAAACTCAGTTTGGAACCAAAATTAAAGTTTTCAGGTCTGATAATGCTCAAGAGTTGCAATTTAAACAGTTATTTGCTGATCTAGGTGTTTTACATCAATTTAGTTGTGTGTATACTCCACAACAAAATGCTGTTGTGGAGAGAAAACATCAACACATTTTAAATGTGGCTAGATCTTTGTTTTTTCAATCTAGAATGCCTATTGAATTCTGGAGTGATTGTGTCTCTACAGCAGTGTTTTTGATTAATAGAACTCCAGCCTATAATCTTAACAATTTATGTCCTTTTGAATTACTTTATGCAGGAAAGTCCTTTGATTATACTTTTCTAAAGGTTTTTGGTTGCTTAGCTTTTGTCTCTTCTTCTCCAGTTCATAAATCCAAATTTGAGCCAAGAGCCACTCCTTGTGTTTTCATTGGCTACCCTATTGGTGTTAAAGGTTATAAAGTTTATGATTTACAAACTCATCAAGTTATTGTCTCTCGGGATGTTGTTTTTCATGAAACTATTTTTCCTTTTGCCTCTAAAAATCATAATTTTCTTTCTGCAAATCAGTTTGATACATCTCCTGTTATTCCTTCTTTTAAATTACCTATTGATGAGTTATATCTTGATGCTGATCCATATCAGCTTCCTGGTAATATTCCTAGTACTTCTCAGCGTCAAGTCACTATTCATGGTACTGTTCCTCATGGGAATGCTCAACCGCAGCCAAGAAAATCCTCCAGAACTGTAAAACCTCCTGCTTATTTACAAGATTTCAAGTGCAATACAGTTTATGGTTCCTTATATCCTATTACAAATTATCTGAACTACAGTAAACTCTCACCCAATTTTCTAGGCTATACTTTAAATATTTCTTCAGATATTGAGCCAGCTACATACAAACAGGCCATTAAAAATCCTGCTTGGATTACAGCTATGAATGAAGAGCTCACAGCGCTTGAGGACAATCACACTTGGACAGTGGTGCCATTACCTCAAGATAAGCACACCATCAGTTGTAAGTGGGTATACAAAATCAAAAGAAAGCATGATGGTACTGTTGACAGGTTTAAGGCCCGGTTGGTGGCCCGAGGTTTCACTCAGCAAGAAGGAGTGGACTTTATTGATACATTCTCCCATGTGGCTAAGTTGGTTACTGTCAAAGTCTTGTTAGCTTTAGCTGCTATCCATAAATGGGAACTTCACCAGTTAGATGTAAATAATGCCTTCTTAAATGGAGACCTCAAAGAAGAAGTTTTTATGGATTTACCACAAGGTTATCAGCCCAAATTGTCCACCTCTGAAACTCAGCCTCGATCCGTATGCCGGCTCAACAAGTCACTTTATGGCTTGAGACAAGCCTCCAGGCAGTGGAACAAGAAATTTACAGAAGCTTTAATTCAGCTTGGTTTCCTACAATCAACATCTGATTATTCTCTTTTTACTAGAGGGTATGGTACGTCTTTTCTTGCACTAATTGTTTATGTTGATGATATGGTTATTGCAGGACCTTCTCCATCTGCTATTGCTCAGTTGAAAACTCAGATTCAATCTCATTTCAAGCTCAAAGATTTAGGTAAAATGAAGTTTTTCCTTGGAATTGAAGTGGCACGGACTACTGCTGGTATCACCATTTCCCAGAGACAATATGTGATCAATCTCCTTACTGATTCTGGCTACTTAGACTGCAAACCAGCTAAGCTTCCCATGGATCCTAAGCAACAGTTGAATAATGCAGATGGAGAGTTGGTTCCAGATTTCTCGGTTTACCGACGACTTGTCGGTAGACTCCTCTATCTCACTTTGACCAGGCCTGATATAACCTATGCAGTCCACAAGTTGAGTCAATTTGTTTCTCAGCCCAGAGTTCCTCATTTACAAGCCGCACATCATCTTTTGAGATATCTTAAATCAGCCCCAGGCAAAGGAGTGTTCTTTTCTGCTCAGTCTTCCCTCATCATTAAGGCTTTCTCAGATGCAGATTGGGGTTCTTGTTCAGACACTCGGAAGAGCACTTCGGGTTTTTGTGTGTTCATTGGTGATTCCTTGATTTCTTGGAAGTCCAAGAAACAACCTACCGTAGCCAGATCCTCAGCTGAGGCAGAATATAGAGCTTTGGCGGTGGTGTCTAGTGAGTTGGTATGGATCAAGCAGTTACTTCAAGATTTTCAGTTCCAACCGCCTTTATTCTTTTATTTTGTGACAATTTGGCTGCCGTTCATATTGCCACAAATCCCACCTTCCACGAAAGGACTAAGCATATCGAAATCGATTGCCATTTTGTTCGACAATGGGTTGACAAAGGCTTACTTCGTTTGATGCCTGTACCTGGCAGAGATCAGCTGGCAGATATATTTACAAAGGCCCTACCTGTGCCCGCTTTCTCTTATCTTCTATCCAAGATGGAGCTTAAAGACATTTATGCTCCACCTTGAGGGGGGGATATTAGCATATTAGATTTTTCCTCTTTTTATATATATTTTATTTTATTTTATTTTTATTGTTTTACAGAAGACGTGTTTATGTAAAACACGCTTTTCCCTTTTAAGTTTTAAGTTAGTTGTTAGTCTTTATAGCTATATATATTACACATCACATATGACGTGTATTCAATTCACTTGTAAAACTTTTCTCCACAATCAGAATAAAATATCTGTTCTTCTTCATCCTCTCTAAGCCGTTAATGGCGGTTCCCAAAATTCCACGATTGTAAATCTTAACATTAAAACTAAGATAGTGTTTAATGTTTTTCGTTTAATTTAAATAAATTGTAATTAAATAAAAAATCGAATTTAAATATTAATTCTGGATTAGACGTATGGCTGTCAACTCGGAGCAGCTTTGTTTACCATAATCGATGTTCATGTCCCTATATATCTATACATTAAGTACGTAATAAATAAAATAGAATTTATTATTAATTAATATAAAATTACCTCTAATTTCAAGAATCCCTGAAACTTAAAGAAAGTGATTCTGCTTCACCTTCCATGGCAATTAAAGATTTTGCTGTATTACTTAAACAAACATGTATATATATCTTCTGTTTTGTCTTAAATTTGTCGGAGTTTCAGACAATGAATGCATGCATATATATATGTGTATTAACACAGTGTTTGTGCCAATTTCATGCAACCCTAAATATTTATTTATTACACCATGAATGGAAAGAGGTGGTAGTAACAGCTTCTATGAATGGTCAAACAAATCAAATATCCTCTTCAATTTATTTATTTCTATTGAAAATTTATTAGTATAGAACCCAAATACATTATTTTTTATTTTTTATTTGATTATTAAAAACATCTTTTGAAATATTAATGAATATATATATATATATATATATATATATATATATATATATATATATAGCTAATTAAATGGGTTCAGAAAGAGGATGTCGGGCTTGACATTCAATCAGGCAGGAAAAGTGGCTTTCGCGTGCAACCTAATTACAGTGCCAAAAAAAAATTAATAATAAAAAGTAATAATAATAAATAATGGTATAACAGATGATGTCATTTACATTAATTCCATTTAATATGAAAGTAAAGTAAAAGTTAACTAAAACACATACATTAATGCATAGATGGTATAATATCATGGAGCTTTTAAATTCATTTTTTTTTTTTAATTTAATTTTTATTTTTTATTTTTATTAGTATAAATGAATGTGTATCATAAGATAAAGCGCGCATGAGCAACCTACTTGTGTGTGTGTGTGTGTGTCGTGTAAATCATATTGCACATAATTTTTAGAGGTAATAATCATAAAATAGGGATAGATCACTGATTTTGGCAGCGCACGTGCCAAATTTCAGGATCCTAGATTATTATTACAAGGTCAACATTTTGCAGAGGACCACATTTTTTATTTCACCTATTATTTTTCAAAAAAAAAACAAAATTCAATTACTAGTGACAAACTCTGAATTTTCATTTTTTTTAGTAAGTAAGGAGAATAAATTAAATAAGAATAATAAGAATCATCCATGTGTGCTTTCTTTGGCCTGGACTTTTTTACTGGGCCAGAATAATAGTAATTTGAAACTAACGGTTTGATTTAACGTTAACGGGCCTCTTAATAGGTTTTATTGAATGTGCCATCTCCAAATAAAAAACTGGGAAACTTTACCAGGTTGTTAATTGGGTCGAATGGTTACAAATTGTAACAAAATTTTCAATTTTCGCCAATTTCAATTCAAAAACCAATTTATATATATATATATATATATATATATATATATATATATATATATATATATTTCCTTAAAAAAACATCAATTTTGAAGCAATATTTGGCGCAGTAAAATGTATGATACAAGGAATAAATTTCAAACATAAAAACAACTTAAATACAGATAATCAGCACCGTCTTTGTTTTTTTACCTTCGTTCAACAGTCTGGTTTTAATATCTCGCACGGCAAAAAATGCTACAAACACAACGATGAATTTCGAAACGAAAATAAAATAAAATTACACTAGCCCGTATCCCCGTCCAGAGATCCTTCTCAAATTCTCATACAAAACAACAAAATTCATAAAATGGTATATCAAAATTCAGATAATAATTACTAAAGAACAAAATTCGGGGAAACAAAATAAAATCAAGAAATCGAGTGCTAAAAGTATCATGCTAGTTTTACTAGGGCGCCAATGGTCTCGTCACTGCGGATTCTAATGTCCAATTGAGAAGATTAGTAACTCTTTTTTTGTCAACAAATAATATATATTTGATGAACTTAAATAGACAGTACGCGTACATTATAAAGTGAACGTCTTTAAAGCACAGCCCTTTGTCTTTCAGGTGCATCTTCATGCTCGACCTAGCACACGTATCACAATAAACGTTATTTAAATACGAGCGCAGTTATTTGATTATACCAAAAATGCTAAAAAGCTAAACAAAATAATAAAATATTTATCATTTACCTCAACGTGTACTCTGACTTTCTTCTTGGATTTGGAGTTTGGTTCTTCTTTCTCCAGCTTTCTTGCAGAACTCTTCCTATCTCTCTTACGGTTAATATAGACAGTCTCTTCATCGTCTTCATCATCATCATCATCCATGTCAGCTGCAAAAAAAATAATATTAAAAAAAAAAGTTCAATTTTTAGTTAACTCATTAAATAGAGAACTATGCAAAGCACAAAAGAGTAGAAAAGTTTTACCATCGTCATTTATCATAGCACGACCACCAAAATCTTCCATATCTTCCTCTTCTTCGAGTTCTTCATAGCCTTCAACATATTCAGTAGTATATTCCTGCAAATATCAATCGCATGGTACTGTTAGCAAACACCATACTGTAACTAATGAAATAGGGCTTCGTTTGGTTCATAAGATAAGATTCGATTAAATAAATCTTGTGGACAACCCAATATTATTATTGGACCATGGGATGTTCAATGAATAATCCCCCTAAAAAAACAAGATGAGACTACTATTTAATTAATCATGGCTAATCTCTCCAACCAAACGAGGCCTGGGTAAATAGAATTTGTTGCATACCTCCTCTTCTTCCATTTCATTCATTTCAGCCTCCTTACTAAGGAGTTCTTTGTACTTTTGAATCGGATAGAGATCACCATAAAGTCCTTGCTCGAGGCGTTCAACCAACTCCTTTTCAATAACCTACGAAATAAAATTACGATCAGTCCCTGTGATATGTGTCCGGTACTAGAATGACAACATATATATATATATATATATATATATATATATATATATATAAGAAACAATAAGGGGAAGAGGATTACATTATCCAATTGTGCTGCCTTCTCAGCCTTCTCCTCTCTCCGAGCCTCTCTTTTCTTTTCTTTCGTGGGCACTGTCATAATTTTCTCTCTACACACAAAAAGCAGCGAAGTAAGAGCATGCCGAAGGTGGTCAATAAATAGTTACTGAAAAGGAAAAGGGTTATCCAACATTGTCAAAAATGTCTAAAAAACTGTGATCTACAAGACAGATTACATCTTTTGCCACCATGTAAGAACATTTAACAACTTATTTAAGTTAAGAATTCCGTATTCTTTATAAGAATCACATGTTGATAACTTCCTCTGATTTTCAAAAACTAGCCAACCCGAATTTCTATTAATTAGTGAAGGATAAGAACTATCATGATGGATAAACTTCTAGTTCCTAACTGTCAATCGGCACCTTCTTTTTCAGCACTCGGGCTACTACGTTTCACGTGTACCATTGTAATGCTAGTATATTTTTTAAGAGTTGAAATTAGATCCCCTCATCTCTAGAGTTTGACCAATTTGGAAAATTTCAGCCGGCTTAGCTAATGGGATAAAGATTCTCTGCTTTTCTTTTACGGATCAAAAAACAACCGCTGCAATTAACTCCTAAATATTTCAGCAGGTTCAGGTTTTAGTTCTAAGGTTGGGTATTCACGTTAAATATGCAAACTAAATAACTTATTTTACTCTCGTTTTTACTTCAAATCAGTTCGTACCCAAGACAAGAAGAGCAATAACAGCTATAGCTTACACTTTATAGAGAAGTTTTTAAGTATATAACATTCTCTTCAATCTGAAAATACTGTTCGACTTTTACCTACAGGCCCACAACCTAAGTCTATACTAAGCGAAAGTTACACATAACCGGCTTTCCTATAAATTGCGACTCTGAAAAAAAAACGAAAAATAAGTAAATTTGAGAAAAAGCAGAAGAAAGCAAAGTGAACCTTGTCTTTAAGGCAAGTTTCCTCATGCGTATCCGCATCTGTGTCATCTTAGTTAATCTCTGTTTTGTTTTGTGCACCAGTAACTTAGGCCAGTATATCTGTTAAACACGTCGACAGAGTCGAGGAAAAATCAAGCATCGTAACATGAATACTGAAGTTAACTAACAACAGAACACCAATCAACAATTACCAAGTGTTTGTCAATAATCTCGAGGGCCTTTTCATAATTCCTTGGCAATTTGACTCTTTCCCACAACTTTTTAGGCATATGTGCCCTTTCTATGGTCTTCATATACAAATAAAAAACTCCTGTAAAAAAACCGAAAACCACACGATACACGAAACATTAAGCTACGAAATGAACTAACTAGTACGAAAATGACTGAATCAGACTTAACCCAATTAATATATTTCACTAAATAAAAATTAACAAAATTAATTACAGAATAAAATACCTTCATGCTCCCTTATAGTAGCATATCGACTGTTAGCGAGTGGGCAGGAGCTCCGATTACAAGTTCCGGTCACGTTGTACGGGTTTCGACAGAATATCCCAGTTTCAATTCTATTAACAATATTTGACAACAAAATCCACAAATTATCAATCCACATAAACACAAAGGATAGAAAAACCCTAAATTTACGGAACCGCAAGAAAGAAAACCTCAAAAAAGAAAACTTACTTGGCCATAAAACTGCAATGGTTGTGTCTGATAACTTGCCATATGACCTCATCGTGCTGCATTTTTACTGATTAATCTGATAAATGCGAAGAGAACGATGAGAAAAAGGAGAACGTTTATCGGTGTTTTTTGAGGGTTTAGCAATTGGGAAAATAAATTAGGGTTTACGGGGCTTCACTGCACCCTTGGAGGAACAGCGGTGCCTGCTGCGTGCGTGCGGTGGGCTTATGTATTGTGTAATTACCGATATTGTCCTGCTGATATATTGTATTGCCGACTTTATCCCAAAGGGTAAAAAGGGAAATTTGGCTGCAGGTAAAATAACATATTCAAATATAGGAATTTTAATTTGGAAAACTAATCATTTGATTAAGATTATATTCTTGGATTTTGAAATTGACGATAATGCACTTCTGATAATAAGAAAGAAATAAAAAACTGATGAATTTATAGGTTGTCAATCGGACAAATTACAGTTTTCGCCCTTCAAGTTTGCACTGATTCAACATTTGGTTATTCATTTTCATAAAAAACACATTTGGTTCCTCATGTTTCAACAAGTGAACACTTTTGGCCATTTTTGTCAATTTACCGTTACAACTGACGTAATCAAGCATTTGCCCATCATTGTCTTAACTGACGAAATATGAGGGACCAAATGTATTTTTTATGAATATAAGAGACCAAATATAAAATTGATGCAAACTTGAGGGACCAAAACTGTATTTTTGTCATTGACAAAACAAAAAAAAAAAAGATTATTGAAAGAAAATAATAGTTTTGTAGTTCAATTTTTAATATTTAATTTAAATGTAATAATTAATTGATAAAATTATAAAGTTCTAGTCAATAACCTAGAAAAGCATAATTAACAATTTAATTTAAGACAAAAATCCGAATATTGCAACTACTAAGGTGATGCGGTGCTGCTCAATCGTTTCCGAAGCTCGTCCACGAGTCCACTTCTTGGAACCTCAACCTCAGTTTTAGCAGTTAGATCTTTTAGTTTAACGACTTGTTTACTGAGTTCTTGATCTCCTACAATCACCATATACGGTATGCTGGACCCTATCGCACGATCAATGTGCTTGTTCGCTCTCTTGTGGATCATGAACTCTGCTTTTATCTTTGCCCCCCACAATTCACTCGCTATCTCTGCTCCTACTGACAAATCTTCGCCTAGGATGCTGACTAGGACTTGTGTTTCTGTTGCTCGAATTTCCTGGTGCACGAAAAGATGGAACTCCACCGTTAATTGTTGCAATAGTAAATTCAATGCAACAGAGGAATATAAATATAAGTCCCGACGTACCTGGTTTTTATCTTTTTGGAGCTGCTCCATTATAGCAAATACTCTCTCTATACCTAAGCTGATTCCGACTGCAGGAACCTGCTTTGTGCCGAACATACCTATGAGGTTGTCGTAGCGTCCACCAGCTGCAATCGAACCAACCTGGAGACCAGCCCGTTTAGAAATTGTCACGAAAATGAATTAGAGGAGAGGGGTCCAACGTAATTATTCAATAGAAACATTTGCAATCACAACAAAATTCTCTTACAAAAATAACAGCAACTATCTTAGCATCGGTTGTTCGAGTGAAGTTGTTTTTCTTGTTCTTAGATTGAGCATCAGAATAACATATTGCATACCATAACATGTATCGAAATAGGAAATAAGCCATAAGTTTTTCTCTGTACAGACACACATCACATTTTCATTCCTCAAGCCTTATAAGCATATAAACGTAGCAGTTCCTCGAAATCGAGAAAGAGTGGTTTTCCGGACTTCTTATTTTTTATCAAGAGGATACATAATAGAATGTCGATAATAAAATGAGCAATTATTTTATTCAAACAAATACCTGTGTCGCCCCTTTAAAAGCAGCTTCGAATATGACTCCAGTGTAGTAATCCAATCCTCTTGCAAGACTCAAGTCAAAAACTACTTTGTCAACACACTTGGACTTCTCCAGAGCTTTGAATAAAATCTCCAATTCATTCAATGCAAGCTCGGCTTCGCTGTTTGTTAAGAACTCGCTTCCTTCTTGCTTTAACTTGGACAATAAATCCATAGGAGATCCTCTTTGTTTAACAAATGTTCCAATTTTATCCGCTGTGTCCTCGGTTAAACCTTTTTCTTCTACCTGGACAAGTGAAATATATGCAACTTAAATTTTCAGGGCATATTATCACCCAATTCAGAGGGCAATATCATAGAAAAGAAAAAATGAGAAGCAGCAAACAATCTTTCTTAATTCATAGCATACGAATTGAAACAATATATATATATATATATATATATATATATATATATATATATAAGACAGCTCATTGCACTCACCATTTCCTTTTTAATCTGCTCAAATGTTTGCTTGTCTAACTTGTCAATACTGGAACAAATAGTTCTAAATTTTTCTTGTGGCACCCCACAAATAGCCAACATTCCATCTAGTAATTTCCTGTGATTCAGCTTCACCTGAAAATGTAACAATAACAGTTAATAATGAAAGATAATTACGGTAACTACATTGAAGTATATATATACACATACACCAAGTCAACATGACTTATATGCAAAGCTGTATAGCAGAAAAGGTGATGCAATGTATCATCCCAGCCTATGCCTTAAGCAACACAGTATCATGAGAAAGTTACCTCATAATCTCCAATATCTAGCTCATCAAGCAACTCAGTCAAGATTTTAACGACCTCAAAGTCTGGCCCCATTTTTTCGAATTGGCCTGCAATGTCAAAGTCACATTGATAGAATTCACGGTATCGTCCCTTAGATGGGTTGTCCCTTCGGTACACTTTTGCTATCTGGTACCTTTTGAATGATGTCAAACCATTCATAGCAACAAATCGAGCGAAAGGAACTGTCAGGTCGTAACGAAGTGAACATAGTTCTCCACCCTGAAATATATGATATACACCTTGAAGATAAAGCAAGAAACATTTGATGCTTAAATAGAGTTCAACAAAATGCGTATATTTTAATCACACTATGGTTCAAAATCCAAATCAGTTAATTCAGATTGTAAAAGGTGAAAAATACCATTTATTGTCATGAATCTAGAATTAAGAAATCAAATAGTCCATACAACACAGATGGTCAAACAAGCTATGAATAACTCCCCTCAAACTCTCAGTGTTATGGTCTCAATTACGCAGGTTTGATATTAAAGTAGGTAACTAAGTTTTTAACTACTTACACAAAAATTGATTTTGTAAAGGTCATTCTATAGGAAAAGGCTCATCAGAAAACAAGAAAGATACCTGATCTGCAAGGTCATATATCAACTTTGAGTCTTCCCCATATTTACCCATAAGAGTCTCTCGCAACTCAAATGCGGGTGTATCTAAAGACATGGCGCCGTGCCTTTTAAAAACCTCGACTATGATTGCAAAAGCTTTTTCTCTGACTGTCATCTGCTCTTTTGCAAAATCACGAGTACCCTGAGTAATGAGAGGAAACAGGAGTTAATGTTTTGTTTTCTTGTTCTTTTAAAACAGTAACAGAATACATACAAATTAAATACGCCTCCATGGACACAAGGTGTATGTAAGCAAAATAAAACAAAACAAAAAAGGAACAGAAGGAAGCCCACATCCCTTTAAAGTCTATAGCCCATTAACTAATAACACCAGTCATTTATGATTATAATGTTAAACCAACATGCAAAATTTAATATAGTTATAGATCTTCCCCCAATCAAGTACAAAATGTAGAAGCAATATGTAGTATATTTCATGATCTTTTTCCGATCAAACACTAAATATAGATGAATATATCACCGAGTTTCATTTGACATGGCTGAAAACTCGCCAAAAACAAGGTATCTTGGACAATACATGATAAACATTATATTTAATGTGGGCAGCTCACAAAATAAAAGTAACTGGAAAGGAATCAAGTATCAAGAATAATGCCTGAACTAGATTCAACAGTGGCAACATTATACCTTTGCAAGCTTGGGAAGCCTTCGGCTTTCATTGCTTTCCACAATCTCTTTCACTTTCGTTAGAAGATCATCAAAACCCGAACTCCTTGGGTCCAGCAATGAGAGGAAATCCCGAATGCATTTTTCTAGGTCAGATTTTGTTGCTCCGCCCGCAAACCTATCCTTAATGAACTGCACGAGAGCAGATGTTCCTTTCCCGAGAACTACCTTCTTTTTCTTTTCGGTCTTCTTCTTATCGGTTTTCACATTTTCCACAATTGCAGGCTCACTCACACTTCCATTGTTTCCCTGAGTTTTCTCAAGAAAATACTCACTTCCTTCAAGTGAAACAAATGCAGCTATTGCCTCCCACTGAATAATCTTCCCCACCACAGTCAGCAATTCATATATACTGTGCAAGAAACGTAGGTACTCTTTCCTTCTAAGAGCAGATTGTAAGGATGCACAGAGTTCTTCCAAAGCATCAGCACGGGGGCACTCGGCCGCCAACAATACCAACAGAGTCGGGCGCAATGCCATGTCAGAAACAGAATTGGCAACAAGGAGCTCCACACGACGAAGACTAATATCCCCCAAATTCGACAGAGAGATAGCCAAAGACGACAATGCAGTTGACATGTCCTTTGCAGAGCCAAATCTGAATCCAGAATTCAACTGAACCCTAGTTTTCGAGTGGAGCGAACGAGAAATCTCCCTGAAATTGCCGTGGACTGAAGGAATCTCTGCCACTGAAGAATCCAAAACCTTACTTGCTGAGTTTAACCAGCTTTGAGCCGTTAAAAAACACTTTAAAATCAGCGGCCACAAGCAACGGCGTCCTTGGCCGAAGAACCGTCACCGGAATCCATCAAATTGAAAGGAGATGCATCAGCTCGCAGAGCCTCACACGAGAGCGCTGCAACGGCGTCCGCGATGGAGGATAAAGCAGAGGAACGGTGATCGAGAACGGCAGAAATGCCGTCAATAGCGGCAACGGAGAAATCAAGCAGAGCCAAATCCTCCGATGCGACGCCGTTCAGGGTGTAATTTGAACTGAGAAGAACATTCCCTTCGAGAATTTCGAGAAGCTGAGGAGCGGCGGAGGAAGAGGAGGAAAGTAGTAGCTTATTCAATAGGAGGAGGAGAGAAGCCCTAGATTCCTCAGGCGAGAAATAATCGGGAACAGAAAATTGAAACTCCGACACGGCGGAATTAGAAGAGGAGGAGCGACGGGAGAGCGCCGATGAGTCGATAGTTAATCGAGCCAATCCGTTCGCAACCTCGAACACGGAGGAAGATGTGAGAGCAGAGCCTTTGCCGCCGAGTGACACAATCCGTTTCCCCGTCGCCGCCGCCATTGCCGCAGTTCTGCAGATCAGAGTGAGAGAATTTTGCAGAATCAAGGGGTTTCGGGTTTTTGTCGAAGAATAGTATAGTGGACTTTTTTTTTTTATTTTTACGATACCTATTTAGGAAATACCTAAATTGGGCCTACTTAAAACGGGCTGCAAATGAAGGCCCGAATTCTTGGAATGGGCTTTTTACACCTTTAGTTTACTCATATATGGGCCTTTTTCATACAGCCCAATTCAATAATTGGATTCTACTTTAGTCCTTTCTACCGTTTCGATTTTCAATGTGATTTTGACCCTTTTATCATTCTGATTTTGACAAAATTCAAAAAAAAAAAAATTTAGTTCTTTGAATTGGATTTCTAATTCAATTTAAATCAGCTGAATTGGAAACCGAGTGAAAAAATATATGCACGAATGAACACTAGCTAAAAAAAATTGATGTTTTGAGTTTTCTTAGATTCGAACTGTAACAACTCAGTCATGCATAATTCTCTCACACGACATCCGATCTACCTGATTCTAGTTATATTAGAACGACAACTCAAAGGACTACATATCCGATATTCTGAATTTTGTCAAATTCCAACATAAAAATGATCAAAATCATATTGGAAATCGAAACATTGCCAATGAAATTGCAACGTAGCTCACGATTCTTAAAACTCGAGTAGTATATTCGATTTTTCAATAAATAATAAAAGGATAGTGGGAAGGGAAGCTTTCCAAGAATGACACAACAAAAGGATTGTCTCATTAACATTATTTGTGGGATAATATTATTATTATCCCAATGGGGATAGGATAGTGGTGTTCTTCTCTTGTCCAAAAGACTTTTTTGCCTTGTCTGGTTGGTTGAAGCAGTTATACTACAGCTCACTGGTCATATATTATTGCTAGTGGTTGCCTGCAATATTGCTCAGATGTTGGAACACCATTCAAATTATTTGCATGGTTATTTATATCCCTGTCCATCCAATAATATTGGGTGATGACAAGGCAAGTTTTCGCCATATCTATTCTTGTCGTGCAGTCAGAATTTTGCTGTTGAATATATGATATTGTTATTAGGGAAATTTGAATATTTTTTTGTTTTTTTTTAGTGTTGTGAATTTTGATCAATGAGCTCGAAAAGAATCGGATAAGTTCAGCTCGTTTACAAACTTACTGATGGTGACGTATCCAGGATTTTATTCAAGGGTGTTTGAAAAATCCACTTTTAGTATCACTATCGAATTGAACTTTCTCGTCAATTGCAATTTCTCAACCATTGGTGACTTTCTAGATGACGAATTCTAAACATGTAAAATCCAACACGTTCCGTAGTGTTTGTAAAAACTTTTAGAACAGCTTCTCAACTTTTTTTTCTTCTTATAATCTGTTTTTAGGTGTTTGCAAAAACAACTTTTGCTTTTTATTGTCTTAAAATAAGTTGATTTTTTAGCATATTTGCACACACCTTCAACTTTTGAAAATAAGCACTTAAAATCAACTTAACTCACAATCCCCTTTTCTTTTCTTTTTGTTGCTCAACTCGATTTAAATTTTCAATGTTGAACGCGTATTGAACACGGTGCCACGTCAGGATAGATAGGACAACCTTTTCATTTTCATAGTGAAGAAATAAATAAATTCAAAACTTATACTAATTTCAAGAAGAGTAAAAAGCAGTTTACCCCCTAAACAAATGGCCATTTTGCACTTTGCCCCCTAAACAAAAAAAATTTGCACGTTCTTACCTAAACTTCGGTTTTTGTTGCATGATGCCTCAAAATTGGAATTTTCCGGCCATTTTGACCGGAATCTTACGCACGTGCTTTTCACGTGAGTTTTAAAGGGGCAAAAGAGTCTATTCACTTACATTCTTCATAAATAAAAAAAAAAAAAAAAAAAAGGAAAATGAAGAAGAAGAAGAAGAAGAAGACGGTTGGAGAAAATCTGCAATTGGAGACAGAACATGTCAACACATTCGACGAGCTGGAGGAGGAAGTACTCTCCGCCGTCCGCCGTCCGCCGTCAGATCCAGATTCCACACCGTCTACACGATCGGCCCCCTCCAGCTTCTCGAGAAGGAGATTTACGGCGGCGGCGGCACTGCACCAATTGGTAGTTTAATTGTTGACCAATTGGATCAAATCGGTGGAATCGGTGGTCGGCGCACCCGTCATTTGCGGGCTCGAGAATTACGCAATTGTCCCTGTTGATCTCAAGACTGTACCTGAGCAGGGTATGTGTGTTCTATAATTTTTTCAATTCGTTTTTGTGTCTGTGTGAAGAATTAGTTAATTAATTACAGAATTTGCCGTTTGGGAGTATAGCATATATAAATACACATATAGATTGATGAAATTTGTGATCGACTTTGGATAATTTCATAGGTGATGAGCGATTTGTTCGATTAAATGAGACAATGCAGTTACAATAAAACGTAATGGTAGACACAGCGAACATAATTCATCGATTTAGTATGACGGGATCTTGACTTCTTGATTCAGTATTAACTTCGTGCGAGTAGTTGTTCGGAAGTTGAGAAAATAAGTTAGTATTATGCTAATTAGAACGCGACGCCATTGGATCGAATCTGTAGAAGGAAGACATGGAGTGTTTGGAGTGGCTGGATACGAAGCAAAACGACGCCGTTCTGTACATCAATTTCGGCAGCATTACACCGTTATCGGCGGGGCAAATGGTTGAGTTCGCGTGGGGTTTGGCGCAAAGCAACCACCAATTTCTGTGGATAATCCGATCCGATTTGGTTGACGGGAAGGGTTCGGCTCTGCCGGAGGGGTTTCTGGAGGAGACGAAGGGGCGGGGTTTGCTTGTCGGGTGGTGCCCGCAGGAGAAGATTCTGGCACACGCGGCGGTGGGGGGTTTCTGACACACTGCGGGTGGATTTCGACGGTGGAGACTATATCGGAGGGGGTTCCGATGGTGTGCTGGCCGTTTTTCGCGGAGCAGCAGACGAATTGCAGATTTTCCAATCGTCTTCTTCTTCTTCTTTTTTTTTTTTTTTTTTTTATTTATGAAGAATGTAAGTGAATAGACTCTTTTGCCCCTTTAAAACTCACGTGAAAAGCACGTGCGTAAGATTCCGGTCAAAATGGCCGGAAAATTCCAATTTTGAGGCACCGTGCAACAAAAACCGAAGTTTAGGTAAGAACGTGCAAATTTTTTTTGTTTAGGGGGCAAAGTGCAAAATGGCCATTTGTTTAGGGGGTAAACTGCTTTTTGCTCTTTCAAGAATTATTAATAGTGTACAAATAATATAACTTTTTTCCTTCAAGTAAGGTCCCCCACCATACTTTACCTTCCAATTCTTCCCATTTTATTTCCTTTTACCTTCTCTAATATTAAATAAATGAAGATCCTTTTTTGATACTTCAAATATTGCCCTCAACTTACACGTATTTTTTTAATATTATTTTTGATAAGTAAAAGGATATATTATCAAGTATATATTATCTTTCCATTTTATATATACATTTGCCTCGTCGAATATGACTCGTAAACCACACGCAAAATGTTAAATAGGACTATTTTGTTAAAATGTAATTATAAGGGTTGCCTTCATGAGTTAATGTACCAGCTGGGTTATGGCCCATGTGGGGCCCAATTATTCCCTTTGAAATTATGAGAGGTTGCAAAAGTTCAACTTATTGATCAGCATCCAATAATTCCAATTAAATCGTTCTTTTCAGTTTGGCGCTTTTTAAATTTCTTTTGTCCGATGTAAAGTGCGACTTATACATGCCCTGAACCAGCAATCGCCACGCTCCGTTGTAGCTTACGGTTTTCATCTTCTTTCTTTCAGTTCTTCAGTCTTTGTTTGTTCATAGAAGCTGCCCATAATTTTAAAACAACCAATAATCAATAATAAATAATTAGTAAAAAAAAAGTATATATATATATATATATATATATATATATATATATATATATATATATAGGGCAATAGCACTTACCGTCCCGGTGGTTTTGAACTTTTTGCACATGACCCCTTGTACTTTCAATATAGGAGGGTTATGTGCTTATATGAAAAGTACAAGGGCGTCATTTGTACAAAGTTCAAACTACAGGGGTCATGTGTTTATATTAAAAGTACAGGGGGTTAAGTGGCTATTTATCCATAAATATATAATAATTTCACGGACTGACTAAGTTTGTTCATACAACTTTCCTCCACTTGGATCATCAACATGAATTGATGGGAGTTTCATTTTAGAATAATTAGTGATATAACCAACAAACGAAAGT